TAGTAAGCTTTGTGTAGTAAGGACTCTAAATGTAAATTAGAATCTTGCCAGTCATTTTATGGAGGAAAACCTTAGTACAAACATCTTACTTATTCAGACAATTGTTTTCCTGGTTACGTTTTGTTTGAAGTCCACAAGCTGATGGTGGTGCTTTGAGATGTACTTTCGTTAATATTGTTTTATGTTGTCATAATGGACTTTTATTCATACCTGTGTAAAACAGCTATGCTATCGTTAACTGTTTATTAAAGTACACGTGATTGGGCCCTTCACCTTTTATTTCTATGAAGTGTGAAATTTAAAGTTGTCTTTTTTTTTTTTTTTTAAATGTTTTTATTTATTTCTAGGAGAGAGAGAGAGACAGCGTGAGCAGGGGAGGGTCAGAGGGAGAGGGAGTCACAGACTGAAACAGGCTCCAGGCTCAGAGCTGGCAGTCAGCACAGAGCCAAAAGAGGGGCACGAACCCACGAACCGCGAGATCATGACCTAAGCGAAAGTCGGACGCTTAACCGACTAAGCCACCCAGGCGCCCCTAAAGTTGTCTTTTTAAAAAAGTCTTTTTGTGTACAGTGATTTTTTTGATGGCCTGTAGTGTGACATGATTTTTTTTGTTGTTTATTCATTTTTGCACTTAGTGGTTTAAGACCTGGAATATGGATTCATTATCTCAGATTTCTGTTTTTTGGTTGTCATACTTACAGAATATATGTGTGAGGAGATTGTTTATTTCGTATGTGAGCACAGTAATTTAAGAGAATGAAATTGAGAAGTATCAAGTAGAGTGGATGAAATTAGCTGCCTTTTGAAATAAACTGAAATTGTTTGCTCTAAATGTATAGGAATTTGGAAAGACCCCAAATCTAGCACAATGACTTGTCACTTTGTTGTAAATCAGAGTGCTGAAACACAATACAATTCTTGGCTAGAGAACAACTGTTGCCAGAGGAAGGTTACAAATTATTGAACCTAGGCCTAAAGGGAAATCTGAGAGTACAAATTTATTGATGTTTACCAGTACTAGTCTAAGAAGAAAGAGTGACTGAACCTGATATTGATAAGTAACAGTCATTAGAGAAATGTTTGCTGTGGCTCATTTCTTTCCTTAATCCACTAGCTTTCTTTTCCTGCTATGCCATCAAAACAGCCTTTTCCTATGGTGAGTAATGACCTTGATCTCCAGATTGGTGCTTCTATCCCTCATTTATGTGCCCTTCATTGCAGCATCTGAGTTGACACCTTCCTCCTCCCTGTTCCTTCCACTGTTTCCTTCCAGATCTTTTTCTGTACATTCAGTGCAATTTGAAAAGCTGGTACTGTACTGTTTGTCATTTTATATCTAGTTGAACACATTGCATTTTCACGTGCACTTTAATGGCCATTACATGGGCATACCATAATCTTAAAAACCATAAAACCCTATAAAAGAAATGATCATTTTAGAAAATCTAACTCAGTCGGTTGAGTGTCTGACTTCGGCTCAGGTCATGATCTCGCAGTTCGTGGGTTCGAGCCCTACATCTGGCTCAGAGCTGTCAGCACAGATTCTGTGTGTGTCTCTCTCTGCCCCTCCGCCTCTCATGCTCTGTCTCTCAAAAATAAATGTTAAAAAAATTTTTTAAAAAGAAAACTTTATGGGGCTCCTGGGTGGCTCAGTCGGTTGAGTGTCTGACTTTAGCTCAGGTCATGGTCTCTGGGTTCGGGCCCCACGTTGGGCTCTGTGCTGACAGCTCAGAGTCTGGAGCCTGCTTCTGATTCTGTGTCTCCCTCTCTCTCTGCCCCTTCCTTCCTTGTGCTTTGTCTTTCTCTGCTTCATACAAATAAATAAACATCAAAAAAAATTTTTTTAATAAAAAAGAAAACTTTTTCTTATTTTGGCATATTATTATCTTTATTTTTTAAATTTACTTATTTAAAGTTGAGTTAGTTAAGATGCAGTGTATATGGATTTCAGGAATAGAACCCAGTGGCTCATCACTTCCATACACCACTCAGTGCTCATCCCAACAAGTGCCCTCCTTAATCATCACCCATTTAGCCCATCCCCCCATCCACCTCCCCTCTAGGAACCCTCAGTTCTCTGTATTTAAGAGTCAATTATGAGACTCTGTTTTTATCTTGTTTTTCCTTCCCCTGTGTTCATCTGTTATGTTTCTTAAATTCCATATATGAATGAAATCATATGATATTTATCTTTCCCTGATTGACTTATTTTGCTTATCATAATATGTTCTAGTTCCATCCATGTTGTTGCAAATGGCAAGATTTCATTCTTTTTTTTTCCAGAGATCATTTTTTTAAATGTTTTATTTATTTCTGAGAGAGAGAGAGAGAGAGAGAGACTGTGAGCAGGGGAGGGTCAGAGAGAAAAGGAGATACAGAATTTGAAACAGGCTCCAGGCTCTGAGCTAGCTGTCAGCACAGAGCCACAGGGCTTGAACCCACGAACCATGAGATCATGACCCGAGCTGAAGTCAGATGCTTAACTGACTGAGCCACCCAGGCGCGCCTCATTCTTTTTTTTTTTTAATGTTTTTTTTCTTTTAATTTATTTTTGAGAGAGGCAGAGTGTTAGTGGGGGAGGGGCATAGAGAGAGGGAGACATAGTATCTGAAGCAGGCTCCAGACTCTGAGCTGTCAACACAGAGCCTGATGTGGGACTTGAACTCATGAACCATGAGATCATGACCTGAACCAAAGTCAGACACTTAACCAACTGAGCCACCCAGACACCCTAAGACTTCATTCTTTTTGATCACATTGTATATATATTCCACATCTTCTTTATCCGTTTATCAATCAGTGAACATTTAGGCTCTTTCCATAATTTGGCTATTATTGATAACGTTGCTGTAAGCATTGGGATGCATGTGCCCCTTCAAATCAGCATTTTTGTATCCTTTGGATAAATACCTACTAGTGCAATTGCTGGGTTGTAGGATAGTTCTATTTTTAATTTTTTGAGAAACCTCCATACTGTTTTCCAGAGTGGCTGCACCAGTTTGCTTTCCTACCAGCAGTATAAGAGGGTTCCCCTTTCTCCACACCCTTGCTGACATCTGTGTTCTGAATTGTTTTTTTTAGCCATTCTGATAGGTGTGAGGTGATATCTCATTTGGTTTTAATTTATATATTTCTGATGGTGAGTGATGTTGAGTATGCTTTCATGTGTTTGTTAGTCATCCAAATGTCTTCTTTGGAAAAATGTCTATTTGTGTCGTCTGCCCATTTCTTCACTGGATTATTTGTTTTTTTGGGTGTTGAATTTGATAAGTTCTTTATAGATTTTGGATACTAGCCCTTTATCCGATATGTCATTAGCAAATATCTTCTCTCATTCTGTTGGTTGCCTTTTAGTTTTGTTGATTGTTTCCTCCCAGAATAGCAAGGCAGTCAGATTGCCCTGCGTCACAACTCTCCTATATTTTTTCTTTGGCTCACAGCTGGGATTCAAAACCCAAAGTCTTAAAGGACCCAGCATCACACAGACCCACTCCCCTCCTCCTCTAGAGTAGAGCCTCTCCACTCTGCTGATGAAAGGCCTTTGGCTGGCACCTGCACGGTCTTTTATCCTTGGGGAGGCAATAAACCCTCTTCAAAAATACTCCAGGAAGGGGACTCTTCTCTCCCAGTGTATCCCAAAAATCACTACACCACACTATGCACTCTGGGACCTCGTCCCTTCTCCCCAGGAGCACACTCCACATCTCTGCTCCAAGGAAAAGTTGTGCACTTCCACAACCAGAGTTTGAGCTTCTGAAGCTGTTTGCAGTAAAGAGCTGAGACACTCAGTACTTCTTGTTCCCCAGTCCGTGGTCCAGAGAGGTTTTCCTCTTGTGCTATCTCAGTGGTGCACTCTCTTAACACCTCTCTTTCTCTCTGTTCTGTCTCTCCATGGAAAGAGTTCCCTTTCTTCCACAGCTAAGCTGTTTTTCTCTCTTCTGATTCACATCCATGCACCTCGCAGTTGCCAAGCTGTCTCCCTCCAACTGTGGAGAGCCTTCTGCCACTCTGCAGGTTGCTTTCCTAGGTGTTTCAAGCAGTGTGACTTCAATGCAGCTGTGCTTGAGGGACAAGGAAAGCCCAGAGTTCCCCTACTCCGCTGTCTTAACTCTCATTTTAGAAAACTTTTTACTGTAATACAGTATATTAAAATTATTTTGAAACCATTTATAAGGAAGTGGAATAGTAGACAAAAGTTGTATACTTTTACCAATTTACTTAAAAAACAAATGATGGGCATTTTGAATATTATTGGAATAAACAAGGAAAAACACAACTTTGGTTAAGTCATTGGAACCTTTTTGTTTTATTGTCTATGAAAAAACAGATTTCTACAGGTCTCTGAATTCCCTTCCAGTGTAATATTCAGTGACTTCTGAATTAGCACATGCTGAGAAGTCTGCGTCACCTTGTTCCCTAAAGCACCAGTTGGTTCTCTTGATGGCTGATGACTGTATAACGTACATACACATTAGAAGTAATTTTAAAAGTGCCCTGTCCACTGCTTTATCTATTTGTTTGTCATGTGGCATGGTTTTCTTTCTAGTAGATCTAAATGCTTGTCCTGTGTATCAGATTTCTGCATTTGTTGACATAGAATACAGAGCTTATAATAGCTATGGTAAGTTACTTTTATCTGCATTTGAGAGCATCCTACCCTTAAAGATTAATGATTATAAAGCTATATTTAAAATGTGAATATGAATACAGAAGAATAGCATTGTGAAAAAAATTCATGTGTAAGTAAGACTATATCCAATTAAAAATACTCCCTAGAATGGTCTGATGTCAAATTGAAATTTTACGTGTATTTTTCCATTGAATTCAAGAGCTTGTGATACTTGATCCTTATGCTTTGTGTGAATTCTGAGTCATTTACTTTAGTAAAAGTTGTGTATTATTAAGGAAGTTGAAAAAATTCATCCTCTTGTGCATCCATTTAGTTAAAAATCAAGTCACACATTCTATTTACTTAAACCCATCTGCACTTATTTTACCAGTAACATATTTGGTTTGCGGCCTGTGGATTATGCAGACGGTGAAAATATGAAGTCACTTTTGCTGCTACCAGAGGAAAATGAATTATCATCAACTCGCCATTGCTCAGTAGTAAGTATGGATTAGGCTTTGGAAAATTTAGGTCTTTTATTGAAATTGATTGTGAAAGGAACATAATAGAAAAATTTCCAGTTAACAAATTGTTTTCAATCACCAAAAAATTATTGAACACTTTCTTTGTATTAGCTATTGTGTGTTCAAAGACTATTATAATCAGAATAAATCTATCAACAAATATTTATTGACACCCCTATATATTTTCGGGAACATTCATACTGAAATCAGTGTGACAGATATAACTTATTCTCAAGGAACCCGCATTCTAAGGGAGATAGGAAAGAGACAGTCTGTAACTATGTAAACTGGTATAAATGAAATAATTTCAGGAACTTTAAATGTGTGGTTTGAACATTTTGTAAAGTATAATTGAGTGGAAGTTGCTCCAGAAAAGGCACTGCATTAGCTGGAGTCATTGGAGGGCCTCTAGAGAACTGATGTTTGATTTGAAACCTGAATTAGGAGGAGGAGGCATCCAGGTGAACATCTGGAGGACAGGTGTTCCAAGCAGAGGGAGTAGCAAGTGTATAGGGTCTCTCAGTAGATGAGTGTGGCATGTTTGAAGGTTAGAGAGGTCTGACTTGACGGCAACTAGTCAGTGACTAAGAGTGATGGAAACCACTGAAAGGATTTAAAGCAAGGGAATGACATGATTTGATACACAGTTTAGCAAGTTCACTCTGACTACTTTGTAGTAAAGAGACTGAGGTGGGCAAGAGTGGAGGCAGGGAGATCACTGAGGACTGTTTCATTGTGACAGGATGAGCTATCATAATTGCCTAGATTAAGGTAGTGGTGGAAATTACGAGGAGGAGGAAGTTTAGTGTCTATTTTTGAGTCAATGGTACCATACTTTGTGATGGATTATATATGAAGGGTGGATAAAGAGTAGAATTAGTATGACTAGCAAAGGGGTAGTAGATAGTGGTGCTATTTCCTGCTGTGGGGGAGGGAAATCAATAATTCTCCTGACTAGTTTTATGTCTCTAAGGCAATGAACAGAGATGTTGAACAGGCAAGTGAGACAAGCTCAGGAAAGAACTACAAGCTAGACAAAGTGAAAAGAACGCTTATTCCTTAGGAACTTACAGTTTAATGGTGAATATAGATATAAAAAAGTTCATTACATAGTGTAATAAATTTATAATAGAAGCCATAAAAATATACAGGAGATTCACAGAGAAGGAAGAAGCTGACCTCAGGATGGATAAGAAGAGCTTCACAGAGAAGGTGGCAAAGAAGGATGTAAACTTTTAAAGGTAAAAGTTTTAGCAAGGTATCTAATAGAGTGCTGTTGGCGGCAGATAAGAAAACATTTACTCAAAAGGCAGTATATTCTTTTATATAAAGGTAATCCGAATATAGAATAGCTTTCTCTGGTGAGTTCAGCAATTAAATGGTTGCACTAGAGACCCAAATTCTTTCTGTCTTTCTGCTTTGCCATCCTCAGCTTGGCAGCTTTGTCCTCACCAGTTCCCCCCCAGTTGTGGTTGATAGCCACAGCTGCAGATGTGGTCGTGTCCACTCTTAAAAGAAGGACTAAAACCTTTCCCAGAAGCCTTCCAGTGGACTTCCCCCTATGTCCTACTGGTCAGAACTGGTCACAATTGGTGTTGACATACCTTGTGACTGAAGGCAGGGAAGATTCTTGAAGAGTAGGTATCTGGAAAAATTGGGATTTGGTTAGTGTGCCTCACCACGATCAGGTATACTAAGTGGGGGTGGCAGTCTAAATCTAAGGAACAAGAGCTCATAGACAAGGAGGTATAAAGAACCTTCAAAATCTGAGAAACTAGTTAGTGTGCGAGGAGCACAAGTGTATTATCAGAGAGGAACCAGAGGTTAAGAGAGAAGTTGGGATCAGAACGCAGAAGGCTTTGGCTCCCTCCCGGAGGAGTTGAGACGTCACTGCCCTACTCAGCAGAGCACTCTCATGCGTTTTCTGTGTATTGGGACCGCAGAGGACAGCTGAGAGCAGGTCGAGACCAAAGCCTGGTTAGGAGGCTGTGCGGTAAACAGAACTCTGATGGGAAATGGTGGTGTGATGTGAACAGGGAGAGAAGAAGAGGGGTTTTCAAGAGAGGGGTGTGCTGGGTGCACTCAGCTGCTCAGATAGGGAAAGATGAGAGAAAGGGATGAGTTGAGGTCTAGGACCAGAGGTCCTGCCCTTCCTGTCTGGTGAAGGTAGTGGCATAGTGACTGATACTGTGGAAGATGTGGTCATAGCTGCCTTCGCAGGCTGGTTACCTTTATACTCTGACAGCTGTTTATCTCCTGCCTTCTCCTGGACTTCAGCCCTGCAAGCATGCACCAAGCTGTGGTTTTGATAATGAACGGCAAGAAAAAGTAGAAATGAGCAGCTTAATTTACTAGTTTACAAAGAAGAAAGCTGAAACCTAGTATGATTTACTCATGGTTAACTAGCCATTAAAAAAAAAAAAAAAGGAAGAAAGAAAGAAAGTAGGGATTTTTTGAATGGGTCAGTTAGAACTTGAATTTCTTAAATCTTAGGGCAGTACTCATTCAGTACCACCATACTTAGTAACAATAAATTGGCATTTATTTCATTCGTTTGGACTTGAACTCTCCTGGCAGAACATAGCATAACTAAATTGTCATTTGCCAGTGTTCCTTTTATGAAAAGCTGGAGAAGAATTACTTCAAATGTGTCAAAAATAAAGAGATCTTTATGGTGTTCTTGGAGTGTGAAAATGGCCATGTCCTTCAGAGAAGAGGAAAGTGTTTACCCTCTTCTCAACTCTATTCAGTTACTGTTGTTAACATTTTACAAAATGTAAGAAACCTGCACTTTCTGCATGTCACACGGACATGGCCTGACTGTATCATTATTTTACTATCTTCGTGGTAGATTTTTGGCAAAGGAAAAGCTAACGGATATATGGTAAGTCCTGAGGTGAAAGAACTGTGTCTTTCTGCAGTCGGTCTTCCTTCTGCTGCTGCCAGATCCTCTTTCACTCATCGTTTCTCAGCCACGTTGGCCTGCCTCACTGTTCCTTGAAGCCACCAGCACGCTCCCATTTCAGGTCCTCGGCACTAGCTGTTTTCTCCGCCAGGAACGATTGTAGGGAGCTGGACGTACATGTGGCACGCGGCGTCACTCCCTTGAAATCCCACTCCGGTGCAGTCCTTTCAGAGGGGGTTCCGTATACTGTTTCTCAGATAGCAACCTCCCGGGGCTCCAGCTCCTCCCAGCCCTGCTTGATCTCCCCGTACCACTGATCATTTTTGTATCTTCTCGGGTTGTCCCACCCTCGCAGCTAGACTATAACTCTGTGAGGTCAAGGACGTGCCCCTTCTCTTAATGTAGTAGCCCCAGTACTGAGAACAGTGTCTGGCAAATATTAGGTGCTCAGTAAGTGTAGGTTAAATGCATGAGCGAGTACTGGAGGGTCCTCCCCGATGTACGCTCGCTCCTGAAGCCACGACAAGTGCTTAGTAGCTGAGTCTGAATTCCTTCAAATCCGTGCTTTCCAAGTCCTGGGAGCTGCTTCAGGAGGCGCGTCGTGCAGAGGAAAGGGGTGATGAGCGTGTGGGTTAGAGTGTCTTTCCTTCCCTTCTAGAATTTTTGTTTCATGGTTATTGGAACGCGTTGTTTTAAATTCGAGAAGTTACCTCCAGTGACTTAAAAAGCTGCTTGCTGTGTTCATCTTGTTACTCCTCTGTCCATGATCCCATTGAGTAGCATTTTTATCCTTTTTCTTTTCATATTTTTTAAACCTTATTTTTTATAAACTCATTAAGAATTTATCTAGGAAAAATTTTCATGTCTGACTGTCCTTTACACCATGTACATAGCAACTAACATCTATATTGAACACTTGGTTGTATTCTGAACATCTTTTGAACCTCGGAGTGGTAAGACCTCTACTTATTCCAACCACATGCCTCCCCACCCACACCTCCTGTCCCCAGTCAGATGGGTGGCCTTGGTGGCTGTTTGCTTTGTGGTGGTGTTGTTGTTAATAGTATTCCTTAGCCATGAGAAATTAGTGCCAGTTTCTATTTTTTATTCAAGCTTAAAAACTATGATAGGAAAATGCTTGGCCCACTTTGGTGCTCTTCTTGGGCTGATGGAGACAGTATCATATGCTATATATAGAATTAATGTCTTTTCACTCTTGTATTTTGTGCAGAGAACTCATTTAGCTGAAGTGGAGTTATATAAATTGGATAGTAATGTGTTCCATTTAGAGCTATTTTTATGGCACATATTTGTATAACTGACAATTACTGAATTACTAGTTTTTACTATTATTTAGTAATTGAATGATTCATCAAGTGCACTGCACTATTTTCATCTTAGGGAATAGTTACAGTGTTTAGACTGGGACATGGTTATAGCACATATTAACTTAGTGAATAGGAAAGGTACATAGACAGCAATGTGATGTCAATATGTGTTTGACGTGTGTAGCATGTCCAGTCAAACCTTTGTTGTTGGAGGCTGGCTCCAGCCGGGTCCCGGGGTCCCTGAAGGATGGACAGTGTTGGCAAGGGAGGGATGAGACAGCCCCGAGAGTCTTTCTGATCACCAGGCAGGCATCTCTGCCCTGACTGGGGCTCAACTTTATTTTATAATTAAGTATTTGGGGGACGACACAGAGGTGGCATTTGCCTTAGACAATGATTTCTGATGACAGACTTCTTTGATATGTAAGAATTTCCCAGAACATAGATTTGTAGAAGACTCTTGCATAACCTTTATCAATAGTGATTGAGGCAGGTGATTTAGATGCTTATCCTATGGGGAAGGAAAGTATCTTTAGCATACAAGACCATGTTTTTAGCATAAAAAGGGTGATGTTAGTTCTTTGTGGGCAGGGGTCAGTAGCTTGTTTAAGGAAAAGTATTAAGAAAAACAGGTCTTTCAGGAAACACAATGTTTGCTCCCATAATCACAAAAGTAGTTCCTACAATAGGTTCCTTCACAGGGAGCAATCAGCATATTCAAGGCCAGAGTAAGTCACTCTGAATACTGATCACAAAATGCCTGGGGGGGGGGGGCGGTGCTCCAAGCAGAAACAATTGGGTGGGGGTGGATACCTTAACTCCAAATTAGGCTCTTTGTCCCAGGGCCAGGCTCAATTGTAACTCTTGTGTTCTTAACCCCCTTTATTATCTAAGTTTTGGATCTGCAAGGCCCATAGGAAGAGCCTTTTGAGAGTCATCCACGATGCTTTCATCTAAAATCTCTTTTGAAAAGGCAGGAATTATGCTTTTCCTTTTGAGGAATCTGTGTGAGGAATATCGGTCTGATTTGGAATATTGTGAGGCCTGGTCAATACCCCCAGGCTCATTTCCAACATGAGCCAGTAGTAGCAGAAGGAGATACCAATTTTGCTTCTCATGGCAGGAGCTGTGCAAACACTGCCATTTCCTTGCTGTGACTGTCATCCAGTGAGGCCAGTGCGGCTCCCAGCACTTTGCAACTTGAACCTCAAGTAATGAATAAGTAATTCAGGAAACTGAACTTTTTTTTTTTTTGAGAAAGAGCAAGTGAGTCAGGGAGAAGTGGAGGAAGAGGGAGAGACTCTTAAGCATCCTCCATGCTCAGCACAGAGCCCAACATGGGACTCAATCTTATGAATATGAGATCATGACCTGAGCGGAAATCAAGAGAATGAGACGCTTAACCAGCTGAGCAACCCAGATGCACTTAGGAAACTGAACTTTTTTTTTTCTTTAAATTTTTTAATGTTTATTTATTGTGTGTGTGTGTGTGTGTGTGTGTGAGAGAGAGAGAGAGAGAGAGAGAAAAGACAGATTGTGAGTGAGGGAAGTGCAGAGAGAGAGGGAGACATAGGATCGGAAGCAGGCTCTAGGCTCTGAGCTGTGAGCACAGAGCCCAACATGGAGCTCAGACCCACAAACCATGAGATCATGACCTGAGCTGAAGTTGGATGCCCAAATGATGAGCCACCCAGGCACCCCAGGAAACTGAACATCAAGTGTCAGTTTTCAAACTTTTCAAGTTTTGATATTCAAGTGCTGAATATCGCCATTAGATAAACCTTTTATAGGAATTTTTTAAAATGTTGTATACATAATACATAGTAGAATCTCATTCAGTATATTTTGAGTGAATGGATGATTGGGATCGATCCATTTATAGACATAGCTAACAACTTAGATGTTCTATGGTAGGGCATCAGACTGAATTATCACTACTCTGATATGTGAATGTTTAAAAACTAACCTTCATGCGCGCTGGAGGGCCCTGTGTCTTATATTTGAAAATTACTGTATTTGACTTTTTATCCTTTAATACAGTAGTGCTGATTTACTTCCTCTTTTCTTCTTTCCTGGGTCATTGCTTGTTTTTTATTGGGTAGCTTTTGGCTGACTCTCATTCCAATTCCAGTTGTTAAATTCTGTTGGCTACTGTTGAAGGCATTAGCTCATTGTTTCTTTGAATCTTTCACTTTTAATTTCTAATATTATCCATTGGTGTTTTCTCTTTATATTTGTTGCTTTTGTCTCCTGTAATTTCTGTGTCTTTCTGTTCAAGTGAAAATATTAGTCTTTGTTAGAGCAATTCTTGCATTTTCATGAGCAGCATTGAGTTACTACTCTTAGTGGATCTGGTCTAACTTTTGTATTCTATTGTCTGTTTTAATTGTCTTGGTTTTGTTAGGTAGCTGGTTGATGTTAAGACTTTGTTTTCTGTTTTTGAGTTCAGTGCTGTTAGAAGCTTTAGTGTTCTTTGATTTTTTACATAATCTCAGTTTAAAATAAAAGGACTAGGGGCATCTTAGGTGGCTTAGTCAGTTAAGCCCCTGCCTCTTGCTGTCAGCTCAGGTCATGATCTCACGATTCGTGAGCTTGTGCCTGGCATCAGGCTCCATGTTGGCAGTGCAGAGCCTGCTTTGGATTCTCTCCCTCCCTCTCTTTTGGCCCCTCCCCTGCTTATGCACACTCTCTCTCTCAGAGTTAAAAAAAAAAAAAAAAAAAAAGACCGAACCAAATTTAACTTTAGTAGAATAAGTTAGTGGAGGTAAGATAGGGAATTAATAATTTTAAATGAGTGTTTTGGGTTTACTTAAAAAAAAGGTGGGGCTCCTGGCTGGCTCAGTTGGTACAATGTGCGACTCTTGATCTCAGGGTCATGAGTTCGAGCCCCATGTTGGGTACAGAGATTATAAATAAATTTTTTTTTAAAAGGCTTACTGGTAGGACACCTGGGTGGCTCAGTCAGGTGGGCTTTGGCTCAGGTCATGATCTCAAGGTTGGTGGGTTCGAGCCCCATGTCGGGCGCTGTGCTGACAGCTCGGAGCCTGGCGCCTGCTTCAGATTCTGTTTCTCCTGTTCTCCCACTATCTCTGCCCCTCCCCCGCTCATGCTCTGTCTCTCTTTTAAAAATAGGTGAACATTAAAAATAATAATAAAATAAATTAAAAAAAAAATAAGGCTTAATGGTGACAGAATGAAATTATAAAATTCTAGAGAAATCCAATTTAGAATCAAGGAAACAAGATGCCCTGGAGTTAGATTACTATTGAGCATTTTATTGGGAGGTGGGAATAAAGGACTAGAAAGTAACTATTCAAATGCACTGAGGATTAAGGTTCTGAGCCACAATTTGATGGAAATTGTGGGTAATTACTAGATAGAGGAAGATAAATACTGAGATTCAAGCTTCTATCAAGTGAAAGTTTAATGTCTTTCTCTAGTTTTTAAATGATTTTAACCCTGTGGTATCTTCCCTTTCATTAACAGACAAGCACTGGTCAGCGTAGAGATGCACCTCTTGTGCTTATAGGCAGTGGGCTTTCTTCAGAACAACAAAAAATGCTCAGTGAGCTTGCAGTGATTCTTAAGGCTAAAAAATGTGCCGAATTCGACAGTACAGGTGAGGATTTTTATACACTTATTTATTTTTCAGCTGAAGAAAATTTTAAATAGGCAATCCCTTTGTAGAATTTCCTTCATAGTTTATGTGTTTTAACCATTGGAGAATGGCAGTATACTTTGAATCTTATAATAAATCTAAAATGTTTTTACAGGCCTAATTTAGTCAAGAAATGTAAAGTTTAAAGCTTTGCACATATTTTAGGACAGAACATTGTGTCAGAAGGGCACACTTATGTGTTTGCTAATGACAAATAAATTGTGTGTAATGTAATACTTTCTTTAGTTATAATTTGAAAAGAAAAGAAAAATATGTTTGTTATGTGGCTTTAAGATACATGATTTATGATCTGATTTTTCATGTTGTTGGCCAAGATGGAGAATGATACTTAATTTAAAAGTCTTGTGTCTAGGTATAAAAATTGTTGTTTTTGAAGAAAATTCAGATTATGAAGTGCAGACTAACTAGTTATAATCGTTGAAGAATTGTGTTGGTATATATCTGTGTTTCTGTTACTTCTTTTTTTGTATTCTAGTAACTCATGTCATTGTTCCTGGGGATACAGCCCAAAGTACACTAAAATGTATGCTTGGGATTCTCAATGGATGTTGGATCTTAAAATTTGAATGTAAGTTTTGGTTTTGGGAGAACTACAAAATGAATTAAGTAGTCTAATTTCATTTTTTATGGTACACTATTACCAATAATTATTTAAGGAACTTAACACTAATTTTTCTTACCTCAGGTTAGTCCCTGCATTTTGAAAAAGCTTCCTATATTAGTGGTATCATTTAGATATTCTTGATGAATGTCTACAGAAATTTTTAGTCGTTTTTAAAGCCTTCTTTTTCACAGTATGAATTATTTTAATAATGAGTAAATGGATCATATAGTAGACTCTTAAACTATCAGCAATCCATATCACTGTTACGATATATTTAACTTAAACAATATTTTAAATATACTACCATGACATGAAATAGTTTATTGTTTTGCCTTATGATTTCTAAAAACTGTGTATGCTTTCTTAGAGGATCCAGTATATTTTAGGAAGCCGTTAGGATTTTAGACTGCCTTGTACTCCCTGATTTGGGGCGATTGCACTAGCCATTATCCAAACCTCTTCTGAAAATGTATGGTTCATACCTGCTTCTGGTTGGTCCAGCATCACTACCTGCTTGTTTGCTTTTCTTGACCTTGGATTTACTTAGGTCTTCAAACAAAAAGGAAGCTCATATGGACTTATTTCCTATTCTTCAATAGCTAAAGTATCTACTTTTGATACGATGGTTAAAGTAGGACACTGGGTATACCTTTTCTGTTAACTAATATTTTGGAAAAGAGTAATGGCTGTAAAGAGGTTACACAGGGAGTCTTGTGATGCTGAAGCTGAACATCTTGACTCCGGTGGTGAGTACATCACACAGGGCTACACATGTGGTTAAATTGTATAGACCTGCACACACTCACGTGCACACACATACCTGAATGCGTGTATAACTACGAAATCAGAATAAACCCTGTAGGTCGTATCAGTGTCATTCTTCTATAGTCCATGGGATGTTAACACTGGACACTAGAGGAAAGGCACATAGGACTTTCCTGTCATTTCTGTGTATCCTCCTATGAATCTCTAATTATTTCAGGTTTAAAGTTAAAATTAAGAATAGTATTTTTAATGAAACTTTGTAAGAAGCAAATGATGGATTAGAATTAGTTTTAAGAAACTTCATGTTATGGCTTTGTGCTTTGAAGATTTTATCATTGAAATGCTTGATTTATCAAGATCTTAATTGTGTTATTAATTTAATCTCTAGTTTGAAATTAATTTGGTTCATAGAACAGTTTCCCTTTAGCGGTTGGTATTCATGTCCTTTTTAAATGCAGCCACCGCTTTCCTTGTGATGCCCATGTCCACCGATGGGTCAGACCCAGTTAAGGCTACGATTAGCACTGCCACTCATCTGTTCTCGTCCGTAACTATTACTAGTCTGTCCTTTAGTCTCTCCTGGTCATGACCAATTTAAGAAGTATCATAAGCAATTGGACTGAGTTATTATGTACATAGAAAAAAAGTTTCTCTTTCTGCTTCACTCTTATTTTTGAACCTCTTTTCAAGTCTGTGGCAAGTTTTATTGGGCCTCAGTGCTTAAAACATTGATTTAAAATGGTTCCTTGATGATAGATGCTGTTTTACTGAACTTGCTCCAGAAACTTTGCCAGTGGTTAGAGGAAGGAATGGGTTTTCATAGTAACAAGGTCTTAACAATAAAGAAGCCATGTGAAATTTTAAATGTTAAGGCATTGCCAGGTAAGTCTAGTTCTTGTGAATATGCTCAACTTGTTTCTGGTTAAATATACTGGCTACGTGTTTCATTTCCATAAAATCTGCCTTCTTTAAGAAATGGAAGTTTTGTCAGTATAATGGCTTAGCTGTGTCATTTTTATAGAATCACGATGGACTCAAGCTGACTCAATGGTGTGCTGTTTGGTGCTTCTTAGTGGTGAATAAGACTCCAGTGTCAGTGGAATAAGGATAAGAGATGCATGGAATCTCTTACTAAAGTTCATATGCTTGTACTTTCTGACCCACCATCCAGAGAGAAATAGCGTCAGGGTTTGAGACAGTTACTGTAAATAGTCACTCGGTATATCAAAAGAAGGGAAGAAACTACAAATATCTCTGTTCTAGTCTATATTTCTCACTCCATTGTTCTTAGTGTCAGGCATGTCAGTTTGATTTTTTTAAATGTTCGAATCTATTCAAAACTGTCTGAAAACATCTACATTGAAGAAAGATGAGGTGGAAGCAAGCTTTCAAAATTAATTGTAAAGATTTATGACTTATTAAAACTAGGTCTTGTGTTTGAGGATATCCATTAGCTTGCTGGAAGACAAAATCTATTGACTTAACTCTACAGAAACATCAGTATTATCTTTTTATGGGATTTTACATAAACCAAGAGGCTTCAAGAGGAAATTTTTTGGTGGAGGGTGGGGGTGGGGGGGACTCAAGTGAGCAAAGAGCAGAGAGAGAGAGCGAGAGAGAATTCCAGGAGGGGCAGAGGAAGAGAGAGAAAGAGAGAAAGAAGCAGGGCTCACCTGAAGTGTGGCTCATGCTTACCTGAAGCAGGGCTCAGGCTCACCTGAAGCGGTGCTTGTGCTAACCTGATATGAGACTTGAATTCACAGACTGTGAGATCATGAACTGAGCTGAAGTCAGATGCTTAACAACTGAACTACCCAAGAGCCCGCAAGAGGAAATTTTATCTAAACTTTTCTCTGTAGACAATTGACTCCTTTAATAAAGCTAATTTAAACAAGTTAACAACAAAGAATAATAACTGTCTGAGTTTAACTATTGGATATTTTCTGTATAACCATGTTTTGTTACTTGGTTAATCTCTTATTTTTCCATGTTATATGTGTAGAGTGTATTACAGTGTCATAGTTAATAGATACACCAACAAAGATTGTGAGATTAGGACATAATGATACTATTGCACCAGCCATTTGTCTTACAGTATTTTATAGAAATAGTAACTACAGATAGGAAAAGTTCCTTTAAGATTAAATTTAGGGCTGAACTTCCGCTTAAGGACTGATTCTGGTGCCAGTTCCTCACAGGCAACTTAGAACTATCATCATACAAGGGTCGTTAAAGACATGTATAGAATGAAAAAAATAGATACATGAATAAGTAATTTTTATTCCCCTCTAGACTGTGAATAAGGTGGAACTCCATCCTAAAGATGTAACCTAGCCTTCCAAAAGAGCAGACATCTTTTACTGACCTGTCCTTTTAGTACCTTACTTTCAAAATTTCCTCCAGCCTAACCTTTAAAACAATTTTTTTTTTTTTTTTTGCATCTTCATTTCTCATCTCAGTGTGAAGAGGAGAGCAGATGGCTGTCATCTTTTCTTTAGTAATCTCTCTCTCTTCCCCACTCTCATCTAAGTTTAAATACAGTTGCTGCTGGAGAAGGTTTGAAATTTCTTAGCACCAAAGGGCATTGGTGTGGGAACGTGCCCAGCATTTTACATTGGGCTGGTGTGTGTGAGGTGACGAGGCACCATATAGGCTATTTTGTTTTTGCTTTCGTTTTTGTTTTAGTTGAAGACGATGGAGCCTAAAAGACAATCATTACCATCATATAACCTCAAAATCAGGTTAGCAGACTCACACTTTTCTATTAAAACGTTTCTTCAAATTTTATTCAGTTCAATAAAATAGAATCTGTTCAGTTCTATTTAAACTTTGCTAATTACCAAAAAGTAAATATACCAAAACATTTCTTTCAACTAAGATTGATAGGCAACTTCATGCTAACAGAAATCCTTTGCCAAAAATGCTCTAAGGATTATTTGTTTAAGAAATAACATCTTTTGATCTAATAGCCCCACTTCTGAGAATTTGTCCTGAGCCAGATACATGGAAGAAAGAAAAAAATTATTTTCATTGTTATTTACAATGGCAGGTCATAGGGGGGATAAATATGAAAGAATTAAGAGATGTTTAAGGATAGTCCCTGAAAAAAATCATGTTTTTATGATAATTATTAGTTTGAAGTATTATAACAAAAACAGGATTGTTTACAGCACAGAACAATTATATCCTCACTTTTTCTTAATAGTTTATGGTCAAGTTGGTTTCCATATAACACCGAGTGCTCATCCCAGCAATTGCCCTCCCCCATGCCCATCACCCTCCTTCCCCTCCCCCCCCACCCCCATCAGCCCTCAGTTTGTTCTCAGCATTCAAGAAAGAGTCTCTCTTGGTTTTCCTGCCTCCCTCCCCCCAACTATTTTTCCCCTCCTTCTCCCCCACGGTCCTCCGTTAAGTTCCTCCTAATCAACCTATATGTGCAAACATATGGTATCTGTCCTTCTCTGGCCTGACATTTCGCTCAGCATAACACCCTCAGGTTCCATCCATGTTGCTACACATGGCCAGATTTCATTCTTTCCATTGCCATGTAGTATTCCATTGTATACATAAACCACATCTTCTTGATCCATTCGTCCATTGATGGACACTTAGGCTCTTTCCATGATTTGGCTCTTGTTGAGAATGCTGCTATGAACATTATTGGGGTACATGTGCCCCTATGCATCAGCACTCCTGTATCCCTCGGGTAAATTCCTAACAGTGCTATTGGTGGGTCATAGTGGAGTTCTACTGTTAATTTTTTTGAGGAACCTCCACACTGTTTTCCAGAGGGGTTGCACAAGTTTACATTCCCACCAACAGTGTAGGAGGGTGCCCATTTCTCCACATCCTCGCCAGCATCTGTAGTCTCCTGATTTGTTCATCTTAGCCACTCTGACCACTGTGAGGTGGAATCTCAGTGTGGTTTAGGTTTGTATTTCCCTGATGATGAGGGACGATGAGTATCGATTCATGTGTCTGTTGGCCATCTGCATGTCCTCTTTGGGAAAGTGGCTGTTCATGTCTTCTGCCTATTTCTTCTCTGCATTATTTGTTTTTTGGGTGTAGAGTTTGGGGAGTTCCTTATAGATTTTGGATACTAGCCATTTATGTGTATGTCATTTGCAACTAGTTTTTCCCATTCCGTTAGTTGTCTATTAGTTTTATGGATTGTTTCCTTTGCCGTGCAGAAGCTTTTC